AAACCCACAAAGACAAATATATTTGGAGAAGAGAAAATAAGAAATGTAAACCAAATTTTGGAAACTGCTCAACTGATAATGGACTTTGTACAATAGAAAAAGTTGGAACCTAACTGTGGCAGGGAAAGGTTACTGCAAGTCAATCTGGGATATCGGACCTGGAAAAGGCAATTCACTTGGGAGTATTTCTGAAGGAAAGGTGAACTTAAAGCAAAGATCCAGATAAAAGTTTGAAAAGAACAAGTCCCCAAACCCCAACCTCACAAAAAAGATTTCTCCTTTTTTGCTTAAACAAAAGATTTATAGCTTAGAGTGGTTTTCAGGGATGGTAAGGAATAGGAATGAAGTGGGAAGAGAATAGAAAACGTCTTAGTGAAACCAGGAGGATTAATTCCAAGTGATCATACTGAACTTTGAGACTCCCAGCCTGGCTCTCAGAACACTAAATGAAGAAGATTAGAAGACTCTTTTGTAGAATCTGCTGATATTTAAAGATTGCTCAAATTAAAAAAAAAAAAAAAAAAAAAAAATCAGCTTGCCACCTTAACTCCCTACGAAAAAAACCTATCAGTCCACAAACCTTGCCTATGTACACAGAACTTCCTGACAGAATTCAACTCAAGCATAATCGGTTAGCCAAGGATCACCAGACATTTGAAAAAATTCTTGAACATTAATGTTAGAGACAAAAAATTAAAAAAGTGAGAGAAAAGGGGAAGAAAAAAGAAACATGGAGGAAATGTTTAAAGAAGAAAACTAAAACTTTAAAAGAAAAATTAAATACTCCTATAAAAAAAAAAAGACCTTCCAGCCATGAAACAAGAACAGGATGCTATAACAAAGGAACATTCAAAGAACCAAAAATAAAAGTGCTTCTAGAAATGAAGAAATGTACCGAAAAATTTTAAAGACAATACATGATTTAAAAGATTATACAGAAAAAAAATCACTTCAAAAATTACAACAAAGACAAACAAAGAGGCAACAAGAAAAGGAAATTTTCAAAGTAATAATATAAATTTCCCAGGGCTGTAGGACTTAAGTCTCCACTTATAAAAGGTCCACTAAGCACTAGCAAACAAATTTTAAAGGATCCATAGCAAGGCATCAAGGTGCACCACTGTAGTATTCCAGATCATGAGAAAGACCAAAAAGGAATTTCAAAGCTTTCAAAAAAACAAGTTATAGACAAAGAAAAAGATGGTAGCATCAAGGTTTTCAAAAGCCAACACTTAGGTAACAGAATAATGTATACAAAATTCTGAGGGCAACAATTACTTAAGACCTAGAATTCTAAACAGTCTAGTTAACAACAAGCAGGAGCATATGGAGTATAAGAGATATTCAGATACATAAAATTTCAAATTAGTACCTCCAAGTACCTTCCCAAAAGTTACTCAAAGCAATAGTCCAACAAAATAAATAGAACCTGAAAAGGTGGTGCTTTGGGAAGCAGAAAACAAGAAT